AGAGTGAACTTTGTGAGTGGGCGGGATTGGAAAGCTCCTTATATACGAACCAGAAAAGCTCTGTTTCTGCAAACATGATTTGCAACAACGAGAAGAAAAAGTATGGTGTAATCCTCCTTGAGAGAAAATCCGGCCTGCTAATTGGTTACATCAAATCATACATTTTTGATTGCGTTTACCATCATCATGTATGTGAATTGATAAATAAACAAGTCTTACTTGCCAGTTGTTAGCATTCATGAGGATCAGCAATTATTCCGCATCCCATCATACAAATCATTCAAATACCTCTCTTCATTTGCTTAATTCCAAAACATTCCAGAGTATCAAGCCAGAAGATAGAAGATAAAAATAGTATGAGGCACACAAATTTCAAATATGACGTAGAAAAAATTCTACATCATATTTGAAATTTGACTCTAGTTCATCAACAGATTAGGGTCAAATTATGAGGCATTCAAGTTTCAAAGTTATGTCATATGCAATTTTTTTTTACATCATATTTGAAGTTTGTGTGCCTCTCTGTGGGTCAAATTGCAGGGCAGAGGTCAATTGGTGAGTTGACCTCCATGAAATTTGACCATCAAATTGTGGAACAAAAAATTGTGGGGTGGTTTAATATCCACATATAGCACCTGTATTTGGATGTCACAAGAAAACTTGTTCTCAGAAAATACAACTGCATCAGAATTGTTATAAATGCATGATTTGCCATTTTCAGAAGACAAAAAGAGGATATCAAGAAAATAACGATAAAAAACACACGACAATTACTGAGCACAAATTAAACAGCAAATTGTTTGGCCTGTTTCCAGATGAGTTTCAATTGATGAAACACTTTGCAGAGAATATATGAGGAGAAATCAAATGCACTTGAAAGTTCATATCATCCTTAAAGATTTGCAGAACTACATTTTCATCAATTTGAAAAAAATCCCTAGCTTATTGAAACAGATTTCTGTAACTGCAGAACGCTGAGCAAAGAAAATAAGGTGCCGTGGTTGTTGTAGTAACCAAAATATTCACACTGCAGTAGTTACACTACTTACACACTCTTGAATATGGACATTTCCTTAATCATGTTAGCAAGCATTGCAACAGGACCCTCTTCAACAACAATGAAATACTCTTACAAACTTGAGTCTGTAAAACTGCAAAGCTCATGCAAAAGTTCCAAAAGCGTTAATTTCGGAATGCTGTTATTGCGTGACTGAGTGGTTATAAAGTACCGAAAATGCAGGAAATTCCATTGAGCACATAATTACATGCACTTGATTCCCTTTCGGCTGAAGGGCCACGCGTTATCACAATCGACAAGTTGGCCAATTTACACAGAAAGGTCATAAAATGCTTGTGGTATGTGGAAAAGTGAAGGAACTGTATTTTAAATTACTGCTGTAGAGTCTACGTGATTTTCTTGCTGACTAGCAACAATACTTAATGAAAGCTGAATATGAGTTGCACGAGAGGGAATTTTTGCAAAGGTATATAGAGGGATCACGAGAATAATAAGTATATCTGTAGTGAACTCCATGGAACAACTTCTTCTTTATTCCAACTTTCCCACGGGCTCAACTTGGCCATCATTATTCTCCAGACCTGGAAATCCCATTTACTAGGCATCCAAACTTTTCTGCGGCTTTCCGGGTGAGCCTCTCTCAAGGTTTACAACAGGTCAGAATAATCCCCTGTGAAGCTGTTCCATTAGAAACAAGAATTTGGGGGAAGAGTGCAATGATGCACTTAAAATCAATCTCTTCATCGCTTTTGCGCAGTTTGCTGTGGGTTGTTACATGCAGCAGTTTTGTGAGCTCTCATTCACAAATTTGTAGCATTGAATTTGCTATACTTTCTGTCTTCTGCGTCAATGGAAGCAACAAAAAAAAGTGCAGTGGAAAAAAAGTGAAACAATGGCAATTGGCTTCTTTAAAGCTACGGACATGCAAGGAAAAAAACCATTAACACATGGTTCAGTTTTTCCAGAAGAACTTATTGTGTGACTTGATATATGGCAAAGAAATGGCAACATTCACAAAGAACACCGAAAACACAATGCAAGTGAATGAAAACAAACTTGTGCACAAATTCAAAACCAAACACAGATATGAAAGAAGGAATGCAAGAGAGTTGTGTACCTTTCACATTGAATGTTGTTTGAGGACTGTTTATTAATCAAAGTAAAAAATCTGAGATGAGAAAAAAATCCTTTTACTGGGTATTTCTCAGTGCATTCTCTCCACAAAAACCTGCATTCAATAAAACTGCCTTGGAGCATGTGGAAGACAATATTCAGCCAGGGAGGAAATAAACCAGTTAACACTTTTTGGCAGTGCAGAGAAAAAAAAATTTCTAAATCAAAATTATAGTCAAACCTCTCCAAGTCAGATTTGATGGATGAGCAGCAAAGAATGTTACATTGAGAGGTTTTAACTTAGGGAAGTTTTGAGTTGGGAAACAAGCATTTTTGTGGAGGGGGAAACACATTAGAATTGCAGGATATTGTAAATGGAGATATTCTGAAGCTTCTCAAATGAGTTGACAGGATGCAGAACTTTGAGGGATGGATCATTTTAAAAATTAGTGCTACACTTCCTTTTTGAACTCATTATTTACTAGTACTTGGTACTTTTTTAATATCATTTTTTCCTGCATCAAGAAAGTAATAGCCAAAAATCCTCAAAAAATTCGATTTAGGGAGGTTTGAGAGGAAAAGCTTTCTGAGTTGGAGAAGTTTTTAATGCATGATTTCTGAGGGAATTCAGACAAGGACTCTTATAAAGGAAAGTTGACTCTTGGAGGTATTCGAATTGGTGAGGTTTGAGCAATCAATGTTCAACTGTATGATGTTTTTTTTAGATTTTAATTTATTGTCATCTCACTAATTGACTGCACTATGCCAAAGTTAACTGCAATTGTTTTGAGGTTGTCAAGAATATTCAATAGCACTTATATTGAATATCTCAGGTTGCATAATTATTGTATTCAAGTTTGCGAACCCTGAGCTTGTAGCAATTAATCCCTTGTGGTTCCAGCGCATCAGCAGTTCACTGCGAGGGCAAGCTTTATTTTTTTTCACGAGACTTCATTAATTGCGGTTTCCTCCTGCTGCATGAGGTTTTGCTCCTCTCACAGCTTCTCTTTTGATCTAATGGAGATTGTATATAGCGAGCCTGTAGTTTACTGTATAGCGTGGGACGATTCTCATTAAAGACTCAGGATGAACTCGAAATAGTTTTACATTATATATCACGTGCACCAAATGCTTTCAGGCGAGGGATACAGAATATGAAGCTAATCGAAATCCGAGTAATTCACACAGGAAGCTGCGTCCAAGATGTGAGTATGAGCCTGGGATCATCAATGAGTAACAATAATTGGAAAAACCAAATGCTTTCAGGCGAGGGATACAGAATATGAAGCTAATCGAAATCCGAGTAATTCACACAGGAAGCTGCGTCCAAGATGTGAGTATGAGCCTGGGATCATCAATGAGTAACAATAATTGGAAAACTTTCGAGAGTCTTGATAAAATTTCTTCAAGCTTTTTGAGAAGATTTTATAATTAATTTTCTTCAATTTTTAAGACCCTCTTCATTATTCCTGATTCACCGAAGCTGAAGATTAGTTGGAAATGGAATACGCGAGTTTAACGTGCTTATAACTTTTCATAAATAAGCAGCTGACCTTAATTTTATCCTATGCTCTCAAGGAAAACTTAGGATGAATTTTAGAATCTATACTTTGAAAACTTCGTCCCGTCATGGACAATATGATTTCAGAACAGAAAAAGTTGGATGGAAGGGAATATTTTTCATGACAAATAGAGGTTCACTGCCGTGAAGTACCAACATTCACTCAAGCACAATTTTGATAAATAATTCCAACATTTTGCGTAAGTTTCACTTGGTTACACATGTTTCCACACATTTTGAAATTTTGATGCATTTAACAAATACTGGGCCTTCAACTCAGCAGGACCATTAAAAAAATGTCAACAAACTTCAAGTAGGATAAACGTTTTAAAGCTCAGCATTGAAATAAAATTGCTTTCCTTCAATATTTCCAACTTTATTTCATCATAAATTCAAAGGCAGTGTCCCCCGCCTAACAGAAATCCCGCATAAGGGATTTTTGCCGAACAGACCAGCTCTGCAAGCAATTTTCTCTCCGGCCCAACAGACAAAATCTGCCAAACAGATTTAAAGCATTTTCTGCAATTTTAAAAGGAAATGCAGAAGTTACTCTGTGAGAGTTTTCAATGTGCTTTTATTTTTACAACTTCACACAGATATCAAATACAGAATAGTATGTGTTGACCTGAGAGACAAAAAAAAATGGAACATGGTCCAAATGCAATATAAGCTTGCAGCACACACACCAACACCTGTATATATGGGTTTGGTCAGCCAAGGTCGAGAAACACAAATAGCAACCCACTTGGGTTGACATCATCATGCTTTGTTGCACAGCAAAAGAAGGAAATGCGAATGAGGTAGAAAAGAATTCAGACCAGTAAATGGATGTTGAAATACTGTAGGTGCTAGCACACCAGGTGCAACCAAGCAGAGCAGCACATTCAATATTAAGGGCTTTTGGGAAGTGTGTTTATCTTGCAGTCTCAATATTGTGAATACCAACAAGAAAGCCCCTGTTTTGGGCCAATTACAAGAAAACATCTCCATGAAATAATCGGACCCATTTTCCAGAAAAACAGTACCTCAAAAATAATGAATTGAATCTCTGCCTCGATCTTGGTCACCATAGTTGCCATACTAAGATACTATAATACACTGACTAACTGAGTATAATTTGCTATCACGTACCGGGAAACAGTTCCTCATGGCGTATATAAACAGCTTGAGAGCGAATCATGCTGGGAGCAGAAAAAAGAGGCAATTTCTCCTGCCCACGATATCGTCTAGTTACAGTGGCGGCGTTTTCAGCAGAGATTTCCTCCACACCAGTAGCAGTAGCAGCAGCAGCAGGCGGGTGATGGATGAATGAAAGCACCGGGGTGTTGGAGAAGAAATGCGTCAGGGGAATGCGAGGAATGCGGCAATGGCGTAAGTGCATTCAGCAGCAGTGTGCTGGGGGATAAATCCGTGCCATTTTTCTTCCGAGTCCAGGAGCAAGTAGGTGCGTGAGCGTGTTTTCGGCATTGATTTCCTTCAGCTGCTGCTGCTCGGGCTCTGTATATACAGCATGAGCCCCTGTACTGCTTTCTTATTATTTTTTTTAAATCTTGAGTACATTAATTTTGTCACATATCATAATGGGAAAACTGGACCAGACTCACTATTGGTTATGCAGAGTGAGTGATAATAGTTATCCGGCTATACAACCATGTATTCTGATTTATGATGAAGTTTCATCTTGATTTTAGTTTCCAGCGTAAGGATTTTTCCACGGCATGCTGCTCACTGTAAGCACCCCTGATAGCTGCAGCATCAACGCTTTTGGTTGCTGATGAGAAGCATTTTATACTAATTTTGCAGATATTTTATTTCAATTTGTCTTTACAGAGTAGAATAAGAGGATTCGTTCTTTTGTTTTTGTGACGCGAGAACTCCTCCCAAGTGGTGAAGTTGTAAAACTAAATCCGAATTTTCGATTCAGAATTTTTTTCCCGTAAACCGTAACTCACTCATTCAGGAGATTATGCCAATATTTTTATCGATAATATCCGCCATTTTTGATGATTTTAAATCCATTCATTTGCAAATATTAGAATACGATGAACAATTTCAATATTAAGAAAGTACATTGTGTTGCTCTTTATGTTTACTTCTTTTAACTTTCAGCTGCACTTTTTCTGATTTAATTCAGGAACCTTGTTAATCAAATTTGAGATTTACATAAAAAATTGAACGATTCATCATCAGGGCTATTACCATGGTGTTCCATCCAAGAAGTACAGAATGCATATATCAATATTTTGGAGATTAATAAGAATATTAGGAATGACAAGTTCAAACTCTATTCGGATTTTTTCAAATTTAAAATTCAATCCAGAAAATTGACGTCATCGTGTGGTAGAAGTGCAGAAAATGCTGAGACTTGAAATATATTCAATGTGCGATTTTTTATACAAATTTCTACCTGCATTCCCATTTGCTATTCATAATCGCGAATACAAAGTTCCATGTTCCGAATCAAAACACCTCTTCAACAGGGCTATGATTGCTTTTTTTCTTGACTATAAATTTGTTCCTCCATTACCAGAGGAAAAATGGCGTCCAGAACATGGTTAATAATTGTTCATATGTTGCATAAAGCTCCACTGCATTTCCAACATGAGCAGCGCAAATTTTTTAATGCTCAAAGATATATTTTCTAGTGATGAATAATTACATAATACTCGACCATCTTTGCTGATGATAAGTACCTGAGTAAAAACTTGTGAATCACCTCCTGTGTGTCACACTAGTACAGTACTATATTCATAGGCTGATTGGTACTCTATACGCTGTATATAAGACAAAAGATGTTTTTGTACCATTCTCAAATGATCCAGAGCTGTTCCACAAAATATTTGAAATGATTTCCAAATGAGTGATTGTGCAGTACTTACAGATGGTAGGGATTTACGCAAATAAATGAATAATAAGAATACTATGCTCGCAAAAATGAGACCAGAAAAATAATCCCCGAAAACAATGCCTTCAACTCAATGCTGGTATAGAAGGACCCTCATGATTCCTTTCCGAAGAAACTTCGTTGCAGAAATGAATGTGTCAGGGCTTGGTTTTTAATATCCTCGTTTCGACAAAAAGGTCGGAAACCTTTTACCTGGATAAAAAAGTCAAAATATGCATTCAGATGAACATTTTTATTATCGACATTCTGTTAGTCTATAAACTGCAAAACATCAGCTGCTATTCCAAAATTTGAAGAAACAGGAAAATGTTCCACAGCGAGGAAAGATTTGCAGCAGGAATAGAATTTACGCTTGGGAAAACTGATTTTTAGATCATGAATTCGCCATTTTCCTTCATCGTCCTATTTCATGGCAAAATAGAAACCAATAAATTACAAGCTACATGATTCAGCTTTATAAATGTTGCTGAGTCGTCCTCGTCCATCATTTATATGCGATGGCCTTTGACTTTGATTTTTTTTATATTTTGCTTCGATGTTCGGGTTGGCACAAAATAGTCGCACCAAATATTTATTTCTTCCGAGTGCATGATGACTGACGTCAAGTACCGTTCAAAGTTCTCTTTGTGGCGAGTCGACGAAGTTCAGAACTACAATATTCAAGTTTGCTGTTTTCTTTTCATTTTGTACGTAGATAGATATTTGAAGTTCTAAAAAGTTTCAGAAAAGCTGAATAAGTCCCCGGAGAGAATTTCAATGCGAGTGTCAGACTTGAACTCAGACAATATGGGCTTGTCCCCACGGGGTTTTATTTTCAGCACCCTGACCCGCGGCATTCTTGCAGTTCCTCGCGAAACGCGCTGAATTCGTCCCAAAGCTTGGAAAGTCATTTGTTTCCGTCAACGTATAATCTTTTCCATTTCACAGAAATCTGCCTTGGGATGAAATAAGGGAAACGAGGATGAGTGCGTTTCGCAGAATTCTATCCTACCTTCATTTTCGAGAGCCTTACGAGTTAAAACTTTGAACGACATTTACATATTCTAAAGTTCTGTCTGCGCAGGAAAAATCATGAAAATTAAGTAAAGAATTCCAGCTGCATGAATTTTCTTCGATCGATGATCCCCGGTAAATCATTCGAAGACCATTCAATATAAATGTGACACTTCACGCGAGAAATGTCATAGATGATTTTTAAACATGATTGATTGATTTTAAAGTGTAATCTCATGCTAATCAGCATTCAAATTCCTTGTGAAAAATTTCCCACATCACCTCACAAACCTATGAAACACATTCCGGCCCATCCGAAAATGTTAGACTGCATAATAATCGTTGAAAAAAGCACACTATAGCAGAGTGCGTGAAAATCATCATTTTTAAATGAATCACGAACATCTCATGACATGGAAATTTCTGAACGCAAAAATGAAAACATAAGGTGTTCAGACTTTTTCCAGATATTTTTTTCAGTGATTTAAAGAATTCGAAAAGACTCTTCGAGGAGACATCATTTAAAGCCAGCACTTGATAAGCATGAGGAATTTTTTTCGGCAAGAAATCACTTTCTTTGTTAAAAAAAAATCTCCATGATAGTTTCGTGGATCCGTGGAGATTTTCATGATGTTCATTTCCGTTTGAACAACTCGTGTTGTTATTTCAATGCACAGCTCTCGATCAATATTTATGTCGATGGTTGATTATCCCTAACCTTTTTGGGTCATTGGATCATCAAAGTTAATTAAAATTCTCCCCAGACCAACAAATTGCCTGGAAATTGCAGTGAACTAGCAGGAAATTTCCATACGATTTTCTGAGAATCAAAAAAGTGTAACCTGAAAGTCTTGCTGATGGAAGGGATTTAAAAAGTGTCTGCCTTTTTTCAAAAATCAAGTCAAGAAACAAAAAAACAGCTATAACGGAATGTCTTCAAAAATTAGAAAGATGGGCTTGAAGAAATGTTCCTCAGAAAAAATTAAAATAATTTATTGCTGCAGGTGAAATTTGTCTGATATGTGCTATTAGGAAAAAAGCCAACTTTGATTTTCCATAATAAGATTTCTACTGCCTTTGTTTTTCTGAAATTTCCAATAACGATAAAAGACTCCATTGCTACTTTGCGATAAATTTATCATTCTCATGAACATTTTCTGCAGATTGACAAAAAACTTCTGTGGGATCTTGCAGGTCTTTGGGTCATATATTGGGGAGCACTGTTCCACTTAATGAAAATCTTCTTGTCTTATTAAATGATATTTAGCTGAATGGACTTTTTGCCTTGGAGAAATCAGTGAATGGCCCTGCTAGCTCATCATGGGGGATTCCACGTTAAAGCTAAGTTATTTAAGGTTATAACGCTGGCAGCATCTTATATAGAAGGGATTATTCCTGTCAACTGAGGCCAAGAACGGTGGGATGAAGCAGGATTCTCGCTCGGAATAATTTACCAGAGAAAAATGCGTCGATGCTTTTTTTTTAAAGTGGCGCTGTCGGAAAAAACCCAAGCAGAAGTGGGATGACAGTAATGTCCTTATGAATGAAGGATTTTTGGATAGCTGCAAAGTACCTGTGCTGAGGCAGACCTGGAACTTTCCTAATCCTTCTCCTTTTTGAAGAGGATCCCGCTGCAAGAACTTTTCTGGAATGAACCTGGCTCGCATTTTCGTCATTTTTTTTTGAGTCTGCATTTATTTTAATTTTTGGACTTATTTTACGGCAGCTGTTCAGGCACCTGATGCGAAGTTTCTGAGTTTCTCAAACTCGGCGCTTGAGCATAACTTGGGATTCCATCGCCCGAAAGTTGCGTTCTGCTGAATTTCCATCTGGAGAATATTTGATATTGCTTCTCTTCATCCAATTTCCATGCCATGTTTTTGTGCTCGAATCGTGAAACTTTAATCAGAAGCATGAAATACACTTTTGCAGACTTGCCTGGAACTAACCCACGTTCGTGAGTTAGTCGTGAGACTCGTGAGTTAAATTTACAGCCAAATTTCTCACGGTCTAACGAATTCAAGTATCATTCCGCCCAGTTAGATTAGGGTTTTGGGAAATAATAAAAAATGGTCTAGAATCAAGAAATTCATAGCCGGAATTTTTACCATTTTATAGCGGTCATGTAGTGTTTCTATTTATATTATGAAGTATTCGTATATATCCACTCGAAATATAAGTTTTTGCGAACAAATAAATCATATTTTTCTTGTATCATGGCTCCAAAAATTTACATTCTCGTAAACCTGTGTGGCTTTTCAAGCCACCCTTCATTGACCAAGAATTGTATTCGCTGTCTGCCATTTATTGTTTAAATAAATTCATCGTGTTGGGCTTGAAAAAATTAGAATTTTGAAATGAATTGCAGTATGCGTAGTTCTAGAAGATTGCATTTTTGGCTAATTGAGTTTGTTTTGTTATGGTCGTGTGTTGAAACATTTGCCACATACAAATTTCTCATGGTCAGTATTCTACACCGTTGGACTGGAACAATATCAAAAGACATAGGATTCTCACAATTTCATTTAAAAAAAGAAGTTGCTCCCTAAAATATCAGAGGACCAAGGTAACCTGCTAGCTTTTCATGATTTCTCTTCACATATTTCATCATTTGAAAATACCCAGAAACAGGCTGAATGCATTGTGCTCAGTATCTACGTTTGTAGTTCTGTGACGTTCGTCCTATTCTGAAAAAAATACGACATTATTTCCATGCATTCTTATGAAGCTGTGATGCATTTTCTGTAGACAATTATAGACTGCATTATTTTCTATAAGCCGGAAAGTTTTTAATTATTTCTTGTGAATGCTCGCAAGCGGCAATTAAAGCTTGTAATTTCCATGCAACAATCGATCACTAAATTCACTACCCACATTGAATAGTGGTAATTGCATTTTAAAAATGGGTTTCTTCATTCAGGACAACTAATTTATCTATCCACAGGTGACGAGGGTTCACGACGGTTGACAGTGACGCCAGGAGAAAATCCGGAAGGAGATTTATCGCTGCCAAGAACAGCTAATGTCTTATCCTGTTGGGAAGCACATTCGAGTTGCATTCAAGACAAGGAATGCAGAACAATTTTAAGGGCAGTTTACTTGCTTTGCGGACACGAAACCGGTGAGTTGAGTCATTTACATTATGATCCAAGAATCTGCAAAAATTAAATCGTTGAAATAAAACGAGCGAAAATTGCTTTGTGATTTTGGTCCCGGATTCATCAAATATGATTGCCAGAACAGAAATTGAGGAAAACCTTGTCCGAATTTTCTCTTTTTTCCACTTGAATGAGTTCAATCTTGAAAGTTTTCCAGCAGTCATTACCCAGCAAATAATTTGTTACAGGAAGATGGATGTAACAGTTATGCATTATGTCACCCATTTGTTATGCGTATTTTTCATGCCCAGCTTCTTCTACTAAATCTTCATAAGTTCCTCTTTTCATGGGTGATGTACTGACAAAGTTTTGTGAAATGTTTTGGGAATGCATTTGTAATGCATTCTATTGTTACACCTTAATTTTGAAAACATTCAATATAGTTTTTTTATTTATAGAAGGCAGGCATTTCAAAACAACTGCCTGCTACATTCATGGAAATTTATTCTTTCAGATTTTCCTAGGTGTAGCAGGAAGCATTTTAAAGCACTCCATGCTACAACCAAGGAAAACCTGAAAAACAGTTTTTGGCATTGTAACAGACAGGCATTTCAAAATGCCTGTCAAAACACATTTGCCATGCATTTCATAACACCCAATTATTTGCGGGGTATCTGTGATCACATCTACAGATTAGGGTTTTAATCACATTCAAATATTCAAGTACCCAATTGCAATTGCTGTCAGTCAAGAAAGTTCTTCCCCAATCAAAATTGCAATCACGAGAGACACTGATGTTTTGAATCCCATATCACAATTGCAATGAATTTCAACGTATTATTGTCCAATTGCAATCACAAAGGTAATCACACCTCTTATGCAAGCCTTCAAAAAATTAATACCCAATATTGTAATCACTATTGCAATGCCTACAAAATTTAATTGCACAATTTCAATGATTGTGATCGCGATTCTACTCAGTTATTGCACAATTAGCAACCCATAAAAGCACTTATCACTTTTGAGTTTAGAAGAAAAGAAATTAAAAAAAAATGCGTTAACAATTCTCTGAGATGAATTCATTCATGATTACTTATGATAAAATTATACGTAATTCATTATATAACGAGGAAGAAGAATGATTCTTTGCCTGGAGTCGACATTGAGAAGTCAAAGTTGGTTATCTATATGACCTCGAATACTCTGTGGCACAGGCACGAAAGGTCATTTGTCAATTGAGGTTGAAGTAAACTTTCTTTTCGAGTGGGTCGCAATCTTTTTTTTTTCGCTGCCCTTTTCTTGTATTCATCAATTCTGTACATGACCACACAGTATCCACAACTTGATGATCGGTGGACAAAGAAAACTTCTGTACACAAGTGATTACCAGCCTTTCAATGCTGAAAAACTTGTGAAATAAAGAAAGAATGCCTTCAATCGGATTCTATGATATACAGTACTTCGTTACAACGAATAATTGCTTACAAGTTACAACACAGGGGTCATTTTTTTCACGTTCCTGCTCAATTAGTCAGAAATATGTTTTACTTCATAAAAAATTCCTCGTATAAAATGAAGCCATTTTACTGCTGGTCTCAACGGCTGCGTTGTAACTTGACAACGAGATTTCATTGTATACCGACCAGCATAAAGAAATTCACGCAATATATGAATGAGATTCTGCGATCAACGCAAATTATTGTCAGGTTATGGTTATATTTTGCATGCTCATGATGCATTAGAAAATTTAAACGGATATTATATTTCCGTCGGATGATAATTATTTGATCATGTCTAGGAATTTTCTGAGCAGCTTGAGATTGCAGCAGAAAAAGCCTCTTCCGCCTTGATTTTCAAGTCAGCGCTGAAAGAAACTCATTTATCTTTTAAATGTTTTAAATCTACAAAAACTCGTATTGCAAAAATACTAAATCCGGCTTTTGTAGAAAAAAAACTTCACGGGATAGCAATATTTACATCATGAAGAACCAGCGCAGAAAGATTGCAGACAAAAATGACTCCGTCTTTTCCAGCACGAAGCCTTTCATCAGAGAAATTACCCAAAGCTCAGTTTAGTGAAGGAAATTGCCTCATGATCTTCAACGTCTTTCTTTTTTACCCCGGAATTTGATGCTCTTACAATTTCAATTAGTGTTTCTGCGTCTTCAGCAAATATATACGACATCGTGAATGGCGCAGGTGAAGCAATTATGTATAGAACTGCAGCCTTTTCTGACCTTAGTGCTGCTGCAGGTGAGAATAATAAGACGAAAGATCAAAAGCTGAAACTTGAAATCTCATTTTTTGTTTTCTATAACCTATGCATTATGACGATCACGACGAGGATTTCGTGCATGTTCTCGTCCTTGGAAATGAGGCATATATACACAGAGCTGGAAGAATATATACCAGCAGAAGCAGGTTGAAAGCAACAGCCGGGGCTCTTTCCAACTACACTGCCTTTGAGCATTGCCCAATGTGCGGCTGTTGGACGGTGGGTGAAAAATGGGTCCCGTTCCTAATGAGCGGAATTTGTGCTCAGCGAACGGAATAAATCCAGGGTTGGCCCATCAGTTGCTTCCCCTGTGCTCCACCGATTTCCTAACCCTTGATGCAAAAAGCCCAAGGACGGAAAATGCACGTGCTGCTGCACTTCTCCCCCCACCTTTTTTTTTTTTTGCTCCACCATCAGTCGTGTGAAACAAGGGGTGCAATTTTAGCTGAAAAAACAAAAGAGAACACAAAGTCAGAGCCTAGATAATTTTTCTCTCGAATTTTCTTCTTATTCTTTCTATTGAAGAAAATACATTTTTTCAAAGGAATTGGAAAAAAAAGCGCACTCAGAAAATAGCACAGTGAAGTATAATAAGATTTCTCAGTAAGAACCTGCTATTAAATGATTGCAGGTCTTGAATTTTGCAAAACTCCTCATCTGCAAGAAGGTATGTAACACCTTCTCCCACTTCAGACTCATAAAAGTTCTAACCACTGTTGAAGAATCGTCGGTGTCTCAGGTTCGCATTAAAAAAAATTCCTAAATAGATGTGCACTCACGTTCAAATTATTCATTTGTATGCACTGAAAAAAATTGCTTTGACCTTTGAAGAAGATTTCAGTGCTTATGGTCTGCATTTTAAAACATTAACTAGTGAGAATGAAAAAGTCAAATTTTTGCCAGTGCCTTTTTTACCACGCACTTTGCTAGAAGATGTAGCAAAAACAAGTTAATCTTAGTTCCAGCATCGAGCTAAACTAAGGTAAAGTAGCCTTCACTTTATTTTGAGGAAACGATTGTTTCTGAGGAAATGATGCACATTGGTTAATTTTTATTCGGACACACGATTTGATATGTTCTTACATGTTGTGTACATGCTCTTTGTTGCTGTTTACTTCGTGCAACTAAATTTCTGCAATGCAAACAATGCATGAAAATTCGAAAACAATCAGGTTATTGTGTATTAAGTTCAGTAAAAAAGGAAGTTCATTGCATTCGACGAAAAGTCTTCGTTGAATAACTTGATTTGCAATTTTCTATTTATTCAAAATAAATTCAAATTTGTAGCACATTATGATCTCTGAACATGTGCTGTTTATCTTAGCAAGAAAATGGGCCTGTTTAAAGCACAGCCGTGAGTATAATGTATTCATTCAAATATTCGTAGCTTCTTTTCGTCTTATTTCCCGAGACAGGGTTTACTGGAAATTAACTTTGTACCCATTGATTCTAATCGACTCCATGTTTGTGAAGTTGTTGAGGTCATTCACACCATTGTTGCCCTTCGAAGATTTCAAGTTCAATTCAAATCAATCAGTTTGATTTGATCAGCATGGGTTCCAATTAAAGTTAAGAGGGCTCACTGAGAAGTGCCAACTCTGAGAACACCGTTTTTGCTTGAATATTTTGTAAACTTGGGCAAGAAGAGGACTTGGATATTTTTGCTGGAAATTTTACAAACCTCTTGTCCTGCATGAGACGCAATCTCCAGTTTTCAGGAATTATTAATGCTAAAAGTGCAGCGATTATCACAGTTAATTTCATTTCATTGGCCTCTGATTAAAAAGAAAAGTCAAGGTTGCTGTTCCTATAATGTATGTATGCTACTATATTTTGGAGATGTTCCCCGGAAAAATTATCCTCCAAGTATGATTTTGATTTTGACCCCGATTTAGAAGGAGAAAAGTTGCAGGTGGTATACTTGAATAAATATGGCATTCAACCTTCCGGCGATAAATTCGACAGATCACCAACAGAAAACCTTGTTAAAAATCGTTAAAAATCGTCATGGAACCAGTATAGGACATGAAACATGCATTAAAAAAAGAGTTATATATCATATCAAAGATACAAACTGCGAAATCTTTGAACTCTGGGGGTTCCACGTCTTTTCCCCTGCCAAGACAAGAATAATTGGTACTGAAATGTCTGGTGCACCCTGGAGAGAAAAATTACTCCTGCCCTACCAGCTCAAATTGTTTTCAATTTCATTCCTGAATCCGCTTGTGTTTACCGCACAACGAATTTAACTCGAAGCCGAATGAAGAAACCCCGCGTAGGATAATGCCCGCAATTTATTCAAATGCCCTGCTGTCTTATACAATGGTTGCAAGGCAGCAGACATCGCGAGGATCAGCACATGTTTCCCAAACGGAATATAATCCCACCCAAAACGAATCCACGACCTCCTGTACAGTATATACCCGCCGACATCAGGCTCTGAAAGCAGCAAAAGGACAAAAGCGGAAGACCTGTATGAATGATACGTGCTTCGTATATTTTTGTATATATATGCGAGTCTATACTGAGGAATCCCACCCCTGAATGTAACAATCAAGGCAAAGGACGAAAAAGAAAAAAAAGCAGCATTGCAGATAGCGCAAGTTCAGCGAGAAACTGTCCCCACGGGGCTCTCGCACTATATTCCACACACACTGGCTCTTTACATTCACGAAAGCCACGTGAAGCGTTTTCAAAATGGCCCCGGGACAAACTCGATTTCCAGCACTCCTCTCATCGCCCAAAGCCATCATACACATCACGGAAAAGACCCGCCCACAAAAGAAAAAAAAATAGTTGGGGAGGCCCTTTTGGCGAGCTTAATAAATGTTTTCTTTTCCTCTCACCTCTCGAAGGCCAGCAGGAGTAAATATGATCAGTTGCCAAACACTCGAAAATAGAAAAGCAGGACACGCTATAAAAAGGACCCAGTCAAAAGCACCGACAACCTGAGATAAACCTTCTCCCCTCCCCACAACAATAGCGCATATACACATACACAAAAAAAATAATAAACTCCCTTTTCCTTCGAAAGGGTGAGCAAATATATAAAAACCCGAATCGGTCCCGGAAGAGTCAGTACCTCGTCTACTGTTCGTATACGACTTCCTGCATGTGCACCAGAAGAGGCGGATTTTTTTTCTCTTCACCTTCGCGAATCCTCAAGTGGGTTGAAGCGGATTTATGCAAAAAGTGGAGGCGGGCGAATTTCCAGGAGCGAGCAGAAATTTCCATACTTTTCTTGACCGACCCTGATGAACTGGAGTGGTTTTGCTCCGGGGTTGGGTGGTGGGGAATGCTGCTGCTGTGCAGGGAAAATCGAACAAGCCCGAAGAAATCGCTGGTCGTATCTATGCATCAGGCGTCTTGTTCCTACTCGCTGGCGCTACATGACGACGAGGCCCGGCTGCGGAACACCAGCACCGCGGGGTCGTCAAAACTTGGGATCTAATTTGACCCCCCCCCCCCTCTCCTCCTTCCCTACATAAGCATGCTCGACCTCCGAATATTATTCCAACTATATGCTCACAAAATCCGAAGCCATGAATATACTGTGTCTGTGCAAAGCTGCCAAGTCTTTCTTTTTTTTGGGGGGGGGGGGGATATTTTTGTCATTCCTATGCCTTTTTTTCTTCAGTTTCATTTTCCTCCCTCTGTATTGACTCGAGTTATTGGCATCCGATTATTCCGTGATTTTCATGATGCATAGTGAAGTTGAGGAGAGCACACGGAAAAATGGAAATCGAACCAAATTTTAAAAAATTTAACCTTCTTAATGGAGATAAAGGTGTGAAAACATGGTAAAGACAAATTTGAAAATATATAATGGTGAGACTCAAAAACCAATAATTTTTTTTAAATGATAAACGTTTTTTCTCGTCCTCTCCTAACTTTTACTTCAACAAAACCCATTACGCAATACCTTCAAAGAGAGAATAATGCAATCATGACTTTTCAGTCTCACTTTTATCTTCAATTTTTGTTTTTGCTGTGCTGTTTGCAAATAAGTTGGTGCACAAATTCATGAACAGCATATCAATTTTGTGATGATTGCAGTGTTGGTGCTCTTGAAGTGAATGGGCTTTTTTAATTTTAGGTTGTTCAAAAAATTATTTGAAAAACTAGGGAAATATTGGATTAATTGAAAAACTGGATTCAGGATAACCCCTTGAATTCATGTTGCTGGCCGTAACCAGCTGATTGGCAAAATTTTAACTATTTATTTATCTTTATTTTCGCTGTTTAAATGAAGCTCAGAATTAGGTTGACCAAAGGATCACATATAAAAACAGTTTATGACTTTTTATGAGTTGTGTGGGATACTTTTACAAGCTTCCATTGTAGGCAAGCCTCGGAAATAAATTCAAATGCACAAATACTGGATTCCCAAAGTGATAAAGCATGTTATTAATCGTTTTTTTCAAGTTCGCGTTCAATGGTAAAAACATTGCCTCAATCAACCAAAGACCTTTTACTTGTAGGCTCGTCCGAGTACAAGAACTTATTAACTCCAGACTTCGTCAAGAAAGTGTACGCAATTACTATACTCACTTCCGACATGTACCATACGGTAGACAAATTCATTCAATCACGATATTATCCTTTCTTCTGGATACTAATCAGAGATTTTAATCCGTATATTAACATGTAACCATTCTGATCAGATATGTGCAAACCTGAAAAAATAACTCCTAGAAACATGACTGCACTTATGAAAAATTAAGCACGAGCAGGATTTAGCAATGCAAAATAGCTAGGGCTCCATGCTTGTATATAAATATCTAAATTATGGAGACCACACGGAATAATGGAAAAAACGAATAAAAATGTTTAAGCTTTGGGATAAAAAAAAAAGTGTGCGGCAAGGATACTTTTCAAAAGTATATAGAAGTATACTACCCGAAAAATTCTGAAAACAATTTCCGGTCGAGATTTAAAAAAAATTAGATTGTTCGATGAAGAGTTCGAAGACTGTGGGTCTGAATAAGACTCATCATCTGATTTCCAATATTGATCAAAGCACTCGTCATCAGAAAGCATATTTTGAGACTGTGTGAACCAAATTGAAAGCTTTTTTCAGGGGATAGTTTTTTTTAATAATGACGAGATGGGTGATTAGGATTTGATAGCGCACAGAAAAGGTTTGCCCACCCAACAATAAAAGGCCCGGCTCTGTATGGAAGCAGTTGCCGATGTTCCTTTTGTTCCGTGGCACCCAGTGCATGAGTTGACCTCCGTTGCCTTGTTGACCTCGCTTTCTTCTATTTTCTCTGCGGGAAAAAAAAAACTGGACCGAGACAATGGTCCTGAAATTGACTGCGGATGATTGGAGTCCGTGTTCAGTCAGTACAGTATATGGTCTTGTTGATTGGAAACTACCTTCTCCTGAAGCCGGGATTGGAAATCGGATGGCCGCCTCACTGAGACAATAGGTTACCGGGTGGATTAATGGCTTTGCTGCAGCTCAAAAGCTCTGCTGCATTGTTTGACAAAAGCGTGACAATTCTGCTGATTCCTATACGTTCTTGCTTCTCATAGAAATGCCATCTACCACATTTACTGAAGTACCACCCAAACTCTTTTCCTCAAAATTAAGAGGGTGTAATAAAAGGGAGTCCGCCATAGAAAAGTGCAGTGCAGTATATATATTTTAACAAATATTATAAATTTGGTTGTGCATTATATTTGGTCCGAATGGAAAATTTTGGAACAATTAAATAGCAACATTTAATGGAAATACTGCAATTGAAGGTTGTTGTAATTCAGGATCAAATCATGTATTTATCCAAATGTGGGCATTATTATCAACTTACAGAGTTAGAGTCACAAAATTGGAGTGGGCATCTTAATCAAGGGTACTTGAGTAAATGTGCTATTTTTTATTCAGTACTTTTTAATATAGAAAGAAAGTCTGATAGGACTGAGTAAGATGAAGATGGACGAGGAAATCCTCTTGCTATAAATAGTCAAGAAAAGACATGTCTTATATTTTCTCATCATTCTGATGAGCCTCTGAGTAGGGCTTTAAAATTATCATCTTTATTTGTTGGATTTGCCCCGAAGGGATTGTAGCAAAGTTTAGTGGGCCCCAAGGATGCAGATGTTGTAGGGCAAAATTCGGTACCAAAGATAACTGCAATGTTCAGCAGAAATGCGTATCACATGATTACAAGGAATTCTGGCGTTTCCGTGATTACCAAACCACCCTTCCTCTTATCTTCCATTTTCTCTCCTACAATTTTCAGACAGTCTCTTTCTCAGCTGTTTGTTGCAATTTTTACTTGTCAATGAAACTTTGTCTTGTTTGAATTTATCCATTTATTGCCTTTTGAAAGAAATTATGTCGTTTTGTTTTGGGATTCTCTCTGAATAATACCCTGCCCTTTTCCGAGGCAAATTCTTCAGAATCTGCACAGGGAAAAGTGCTCAAGCTTCTGGTGCGAGCATGATTTGAAAAATAAACCCACTTTACTCATTCATGGATATATCTAATTATTCCAAAAATGATTGACGAGACAATGAGCATAAATTCCTGTGAAAAG